CACTGCCCTCTCTCCCAATTTCCATAGACACCAGAATTGACTTCCCCAACTTTTCTACCACTGTGGTGCCCCCTGGTAATACTTGTGACTTTTGTCATCATGTTTGTCACATAAGCTGCGGGCACATGTGCTGGGTGTGACTTTGATATGGCACAGCACCTTACAGCTACATGGCAACATGTCCAACCCCTTGACTGTTCACTGCTGAAAACCTTGACAAACAGCCTGGCTTTGTGTCTGTTCTAAAAAGCAAGACAAGACAAGATAAAAGTACCATAAATTCTGAATGGCACGGGAAGGCACAAAAAGGCAAGGGATGGCAAATCAAGGCAGAGATGCTATGAACATCTAAACAGGTGCAAAGTGAGTAAGCGCTAAGAAAGCAAGAGCCCTGAAATGTGCCCTGCTCCAATACATGAGATGGGCATTCGTCCCTGTTTGCAAAGAGGTCTGGCAGCAGCATAACAGTGAAAGGTGTTGGTGTGCTTCACAGTGAACATTTAAGTGAACAACTGTATTCAAAGTAAGTTGGAGATCTGCCATGATGATGTGGAGTGAGGCTGGTGCTTGTCTAATGTCAACCTCCATGGACAGTGGGTGCAGGTTGTCTCTGCCCATGGAGTATGCCCTGCTATGTTGGGAACTGCTGGCCAAGATGGAGGGCCAGAGAAGCAAGTGGCAAGTTCCAGCCACCAGATACCCTCTCTGACTCTCATGTCAGGAAATGCCACTATCTAGTTCACTTTTGTCAAAAAGAAAATTTATTAGGAAAACACTTGAGCTGGATCAAAATCTTTTGAAAAGTTCTAACAACCAGAAGATAAAGAATTAGGGAAGAATTAGGAACACAACCATTAAAAAGTGCAAAAAAAGTTAAGACTGTTGTGCTATGGATAGTAAATCTCCTATTTATGCTCAACATTCGTGGTAAATACTGTGTGACAAGCAAATAATTTCATAACACAAAGTTAATATCCCAAGTTACTTGATTATCAGATTCTTGGAAGCAGCAAATAACAAATATCACATTAACCTGAGCATTCAACAGTACTTGTGCCAAAACTAATCATACTATTCATTGCCAAACGCAAAACTACTGTACCATTATAATGACTACTGTAGCATTATAATGGCGGCCATCCATTATTTATTGCAAACAGATTATAGAAATTCTACCATAAAAAGTGGATTTGCTATGTTATTATGTTAAACAAACTATCTGGTGAGAAAGTTTCAGAATATTACATGTTATATACGTCAATGGATGATAAGCTAATGCTTCAATTCGCATTACTAGATACATGATTGCAGATTATTTAAAATGACTTTAAGTTTTAAACAAGCTCCATGTCATCATTATTCTGATTTCCAAATAGACTGCTTTGAGCTAAAGAATGTCAATCTATAATATTTTAAGGTATTGCGAATATTTTAATATAATACTCACATATAATTTCCGGTTAATTTCTCAAAAGTGTACTCTGCAAAATATATCACTGAGATTAGTATGTATACTACCTACTTGAATTTGTCTCTTTAGGGGCTTTAGTCCAATTTTAACGTTAATCACTGACTAAATTTAGGTTTTTGTCTCCAATGAAATATTTCCTGCTTACCGGATTTCTTGCTGCTGGCGGAGTCCTTTCCTGAGCCGTCCTTGCTATCATTTCTCCAAGACTCTCAGCAGCAGTCTCCTCGGAGTCACTTGCATAAAAATACAGTGGAAAAATATTTTTTATTGAAGGAACAAAGCTTTACTGCAGTCAGGAATTTCATTCTAAATGCAAAAAAAAACCAACTGTAAATACCCCCTGAATGAAAATTAATAACAAAACACCTCATTTTCAGCCATCATTCAATTAACATTAGTTCAATGACTGTGCATAAAACATACACGAAATAATTAGTGTGGATAGCTCTTAATTTAAAGGATGTTAAACAGCTTGTAAGCATCTGGTAGCAAGCTGAAATAGGTCATTCAAAATTTATCTAACTAAATTAAGAGGAAAAAAATTGGTTTCTCCTCCTGGATCGACATGTCACAAGATAACTAAACTGACTTAGCAGGGTTGCCTGGGAATCCTTAGCTGTCAGTGGTGAATATGCAAAGGGCCAGCAAATTAAATCAACCTGCCAAACTGTCAATTTCAAGCCTCATGACTGCATGAAAATGGCATCACTGAAAGAAATCATGCATTGCCTTATTCTAGGTTTCCTGGCATTAATTCAAAACTTCATGCAGTTGGAGCTAATTTCACATGCAAATTTCAGTCAATAAGCTTGAAGCAAGACATCCCATGACTATTCAAAAATCTGACAGGATTATTTTTTCCCTGAATATGAAATAGACAGTATATGAAATCCAATCTCCATTTGCTTACAGTTTTCATATCCACATTGTCCCATCTGCAGAGGTAAGTTAATGAGAATGATACCTGGCTCCTGTTACATCTTCCCATCCATCCTTATTGAGGTGCTCAAAGACTCTGCTCATCTCCTTGATGGATCGGTTGAGAAAACGCTGGTACTGTTTGAGGGAAATGTTTTTCCTTTTTTTTGTTCTGGGGTTGTAGCCCACTGTTTTGCATGCACAGCTGCTGTTGCCTGCTCCCTCTGCAGTTCTGACTTTGGTGGGAACAGTCTTGGACTCAAGCGCTTGCTGTAGCTCCTGTATTTTCCGTAATAAATCCTTATTTTCATTTTTCAGTTTTGTTCTGTCTGCTATTTGCCTCTTTAGAGAGGAAGCTTCTGTTTTCAATTCTTCTGTCGTTGCAGCCATCTCATTTTTCTCTCGCATAATTTGTTGATTTGCCTTCATCAGTTCTCCTATTTCGATAACTTGGTTGTCAGATTCAGTCTGAAGTTTGCTATAGGCGTTTTGCAATGAAAGTTTGGCCTGAATCAACTCTTCGTTTGTTTCTGTGAGGTCTTTGGCATCCCTTTGGATGGTTTTTAGCTTCTTTTCCAAATGGTTAATCTGAGACAGGGAACAAATTACTTTAAGATTAGCTTGAAACATAAGGATGCTTATTCCCAAACATTTGAGCAGAACCTCACTGAATTGTAAGGCCCAGAAAGTCCATGCCCCTATTTCCTGTGCTGTATTAGCCAATTTCATTAATGAAGGCTATAAAGGGATAGTGAAATGGATTGAAGTGCCTTTAGGCTAGCAAATTGAGAAAAGTCTTGCTGCAACTCACAGAACTTCCTCACTTTGGCTTTTAGCAGCTATTGGGAAAGTAATGCACTGATTGACTGTGTTTAAGAGGCCACTGGTAACATGCTTAAAACTGAATATATCACAGATTTGGAGATACCTGGAAACATCTCTTGTAACAATCTGAATGAAACCTGAGGCAAGAAAGTTTTAAAATGGTAAAGCCAGGTTATCTGGAATAGCAAAGTCGTATTTCCTGCTGCAGAGGGCTGCATCAATGTGCAACAGAATGCCTGGTGAAGCCCACCTTCAAACACATTGCTCCTCTGAGATTGAGGTAAGTAATTCTTGACGTACAGATGCTGTGATCAAGATAAGGTCTTTTGCATACAAACCTTCTCACTGACTGTGCTATACAGATACATAAAAACTTATAAAGTACTAGAAAAAGACTATTCGTTCCCCTGAGCCTAGTCCACCATTCGACAACATCATAGATGATTTATTTGTGTTTTGAATTCCATATTTCCATCTACTCTAATAATGTTTGATTACCCTGCCTAACAAGAATCTCTCCACCTCGCTCTAAAAAATATTCATGACCCTGCCTGCACCACCTTCTGACTCAAAGAGTTTGAAAGTCACACAACCTTTTGAAAGAAAAAATCCTTCTCATCACTGTCCTGAAGGAGTAGTGCCCTTAGTTCTAGACTTGATAACCAGAGGAAACATCCTTTCTTGTCCACCTTGTCAAGGTCATTCAGCATCAGAGTGGCACAATGGCACAGTGGTTTGTACTGCTGCCTCACAGCATCAGGAATCCAGGTTTGATTCCAGCTCTGAGCAACTATCTGTGTAGAGTTTGCACGTTCTTGTTGTGTCTGCGTGGGTTTCCTCTGGGTTCTTCTTATGTCATTTTCATAACATACTCTTCCATCCACTTTGGCGTCATCTACAAATTTAGCTGCAATGCCTCTGCTCCCTTCATCAAAGTCATCAATGTATATTTTAAAAACATTGAAATCCCAGCATGGATCCCTGAGATTCTGGCTGCCAATCAGACAAAGACCATTTATTCATACTCTCTGTTTTCTGCGAACCAGCCATTCTTCTATCCATGCCAATGCGTTACCCCCTGCACCATGAGCTTTTATTTTCCACACTAATTTTTGATAGGGTATGTTATCAAATGCCTTCTAGAAATCCAAGAAAGTATTCCTCCAGGGTCTCTCTATTCCATAGTATGTGTCACTTCTTCAAAGGATTTCAACAAATTGGTTAAATATGGCTTCCCTTTGACAAAACCACAGACAACTCTTCCCAATTACCTTGAGGTTTTCTAAGTGCACAGCTATAATCTTTTTAATGATCAATTCTAACACATTCCCCATAATAAATATCAAACCAACTAGCATACACTTGCCTGTTTTCTGCCTTTCTACTTCTTGAATACAGGAGCTATATTAGCCACTTTTGTGCCTGATAGAACCTTTCCAGAATTTAGGAAATTTTGAAAAATTCACACTTATACACCTATTACCTCATTAGCTATCTCTTTTAAGACCTGAGAATGAAGTTAAACTGGATCCAGAGACTTGGAAGCCCTCATTAGTCATCAGTGGCCATCATCAGTCACCATCATCAGTGCAAAAGATAAGACCGAAGCATTTGCAACTAAGTGGTTGACTAAAGGCTGAGTAGATGATCCATTTCAGCCTCCTCCAAAGGTCCCAGGCATCACAGATATTACTTGTCAACCAATTCTATTCTCTGGAAACACTGGTTAATGAAAAGGCTATGAGTGCTGACAACATTCCAGCAATAGTGCTGAAGTTTTGTTGTCCAGAACCTGTGTGCTCCTAGACAAGCCATTCCAGTACAGCTATAACACTGGCATCTAAATGGCAATGTGGGAAATTGTCTAGCTATGTCCTGTACACACAAAGCAAGACAAATCGAACCTGGCCAATTAATGCCCCTCAGTCTACTCTCGATCACCAGTAAAATGATAGCAGTTGTCATTAACAGTGCTGAAAGCAGCATTTACTTAACAGTACCTGCTCGTTGACATTCAGTTTGGGTTCCACCAAGGCCGCTCAGGTCCTGACCTCATCACAGCCTTAGTTCAATCATGGGCAAAAGAACTCAATTCCAGAGGTGAGATGAGAGTGATTGCCTTGACGTCAAAACTGCATTTGACCGCGTGTCAAGGAGCCCTAGCCAAGCTGGGGTCAATGCGAATTTAGGGAAAACTCTCCATTGGTTGAAATCATACCTGACATATAGGAAGATGATTGTGGATGTTGGAGGTCAGTCAACTTGGCTCCAGGACATCACTCCAGTAGCTCCTCAGGATAGTATCCGAGGGTTAATCATCTTCAACACTTTCACCAATGACTTTTCCTCTATCATACGATCAGCAGCAGGGATTTTGGTCAATATTGCACATTATTCAACCCAATTTGCATTTACAATGAGATACTGAAACAGTTCACGTCCAAATGCAACAAAGCTTAAACAACATCCAGTTTTGGCCTAACAAGAGGCAAATAACATCTGTGCCGCACAAATGTCAAGCAAGGCCATCTCTAAAAAGAGAAAAACCAGCAGGTCACCCCTTGACATTCAATAACATTACCATTGCTGAATTCCCCAATGTCCATATCCTGAGGGTTACCACTAACCAGACACTGAACTAGACTAGCCATACAAAAACTGCAGCTACAAGAGCATTCAGAAGCTAGAAAACCTGACGCAAGTAACTCAACCTCGACTCCCCAAAGCTTTATGGTTAGCAATCTAGGGAGTTGTTTTGTTTTGTTATTGAGGAAACCAATTTGAATCAGCCAATGAATTTAAACCAGGCACCGAGAGACTAAAAACCAATTCAATTCAAATCTGATGGTTTTGACAACATAGAACCAATATTTTTGGAAGAAATTGATAGGCCATCAAGGGTATAAAAGAAGAGGGTATCCTGTATCCTGGCTGTAATTTTGAGAGACTAAGTTTTAATTTTTTTATTATTATTTTGGTTTAGGTAAGTGGGACTCATATTTATTGGAACAGCAAACCATTAGAATTTTGTTTTATTCAGGAATAGTTAGTAGTTAAGGGGAATTGTTCAGTTTGTTAATTTGTTCACTGTCAGAGTTAGATAAATAAATTGTTCCGTGTTAATTATAGAGTGGGTGAAAAAAGTTCATTTCATTTAAACACTCCTTTATAAAAGCTTGAGGGTGACAGGCAGGTTATGCCGCTTTTCACACTTCTTTTAACAGACCATTTGGTGAGTCAAGACTGTCTGGGTGTTTCAGTTTTAGTTATCAGAGGGAAGTCGACCTCCACTTTATAACACTGTCTACCATCTATAAGGCATAAGTCAGGAATGTGATAGAATTCTCCCAAATGAATGAATGAACTCTGCCTGGATGAGTGCACTCCAACAACACTCAAAAAACTCGATGCCATCTAGGTCAAAACAGTCTACTTGACTGGCACCACATTCACTCCATCCATCACCTCAGTAGCACCAGTGTGAACCATCTATGAGATACACTGCAGAAATTGACCAAGACTCTTTAGACAGCATATTCAAAATTCGAAACCATGATCTTCTAGTTAGAAGGACAAGGCAGCAAATATGTAGAAACATCACCACCTTCAAGCCATCCTAACTTGGAAATATTGCCATTCTTTCAGTGTCACTAGATCAAAATTTTAGAACTCTGTCCCTAACAGCACTGTGGGTTTACCTAATAAATATACTGCAAGAATCCACCCCACCACCACTGTCTCAGGAACAACTGGTGATAAGCAATAAATGCTGGCTGAGCCAGCGTTGCTCAATCCCATGAATAAAAAGAAACTCTCATCTTCTGGAGAACCAGCACTCACATTACTTATTATTTTCCTTTCTAAATACCTGTAGAAACTCTTCCTTGTTGTTTTTCTATGCCAAGCTAGCTTCCTCTCATACTGTAATATCTTCCTGCTGATTAATCTTTTAGTCATTCTCTGCCTTTTTCTACATTTTGACCAATTGTCTGACCTGTGACTCACTTTCACTTTTTCCTCAAAGTTTGATACTTTCCCCAATTTGTTTAATTGACCACAGATGGTGACTCTTCCCTTTCAAATTTTTCTACCTTGTTCTGCTGTTGCTACAGCTACTCTTTCTTCAACTCCTGAATAAAGAAGCAATAATACCATACCCATTAACTGAAAACGCTTCATCAGGCAGTAAAACAAACAAGTTAAAATGTGAAATGCAATGATCTGAAAAATGCATAGGTCCTATTAATCCAAACAATTTCAATTAAGATCCTCTCTCAATTCTGTTCTAGCTAGTTTCTAAGGCCAATCCTGCAAAGGGATTACCGGGTAGATTGGATGTTACTCAGAAATTGCATTTTGCCAAGTTAAAGTAGCATCAAGGTTTCAATTCCATCATGGGTCTCTGATTTTGATATATTCATTGCTCTATAAAAACAGAAATCCAGAACTGGGAGATGCTTAATTGATACTAGAAGAGGCAGACAAATTGAAGATAACTGTTGAGGATATACTCCTGTCATGCAATGCTGGAATAACTAGAAACTGGTGCTAGTATAGCCCTGCATACTCAATTGGAGATGTGTAGATTGTAGAAAGGGAGGACAGACAGTGCAACAAACTCTCAGATAATACATCAGTAGAAGGATGATATGTTTAATTGGCTTTCAATGGGCCTGTCTATTTCTATGAAAATGTTGGCATATTATTTCATTAACTATAACACTTCTCAATTTATTAAGGGGATTGGAATGTAAAGATAAGAATTTACCATCTAACAAATTTAATATAAGATGGACTAAAAGAGCAATGCACTCTTAAATAGTTTTATATCATAAATAATTTTTATCAGCCTTGAATGAAAATAAAATCATTGCATTTCTTTTGTTGGAACAGTTTAACAGTTAATCAGCTAAAATCTCATTCTTAAACTGAATTTCGTAAAAGACAATACTGTAAAATTTTGCAAGTATATAATGGGCTCAGGAATTTTTCACCTTACGGTTCATACAGAATTAGATTTAAGTACTTAAAAATGAAGACCATATTCTGACTGATCTGTCATCTTAAATGACTTGTACAAGAGAGGCTACAGTCTCCAATACTACTCACTGCTGCTGTCTACTTTTAACAGCCTATTACACTAAAGAATACAAAGAAAAAGGTGCTAATACATTTCAAGCCTCAGTCTATTAGAAATTTCCATGTGTCATGGAAACTCAGCAAAATAATATATCCAATATTAATACCTGAGCACTGTCCGTTTTGGGCAACTTTACATTTGATCATATTATTGTCTTTTTGAATACAAGTTAGAAATACATACAAAATGCCTTCAAGGTCTTACCCGAGGCAATTTTTCCTGTCTTTTTCAGTTTTACTTGACTTCTGGAAATAATACATGCACACTTTTTAAAAATTACTATGGTTCTTCCTTATTGGAAATGATGAAATAAAACAATTCCTTTGACATTCCTGGATTGCAGTGCACAAATTATTTCAATTACATATTCCTCCTAAACACAAATGAATATGAGCATTTTCTGTGCTCTACATTATTGTATTTAACATGATGTTTGTCATTGTGTAATAATGCAGTGACAGCTTTCATTACCTGACCATATGGCACTTGTTACAATGGCACACAACTGTATTATCTCCTCTAAATTATTCCCCACAAGTTAATGCACAATTTAGAAAATACAATCAACAGTTTCCAGCTCCTCTACACAGCTATCAGCAGCATATTTTGTCTATTTTGGAATTCATACTGTTAATTCAGGAAGAGAAAAAGTGTAAATTAAATAAAACTTTTCTCAGACAATGAAAACATGCTCTGCACAAAGAAACCCTTTGGATGACCCTGGTACACACATAGCTAGCCACAAGGGATGCATAACACATATGAAATTGAACTTAAGACTATTCTGCATATGTAACATGTACACCCAGTCTCAAAATTATTTAGGTAGATTGCTGGCAGAAACCCCCCACAT